TATTTTATTAAATATTAATATTTAAATTAAAAAACTAAGTATATTAAAATATACACTCAATTTTTGAATTTAAGTATAAAAAATTAATAGAGTAAATTTCTAAATTTTGAATTAAAATCATAGCGCAATAACTAAGACTCAATTAGATGTTTAGTCAATTTTGTTTATAACTTTTTCCTTCTTTCATATATAGAGTGCATCCTTAGCTTTTTTATCAAGGTAAATGCTAATTTTGATCTCTCAACTTTATCAATTTACACTTTTTTGATCTTTTTATTGTTTTTGTATTTTTTTTATCCCTCAACTCTAAAAAATACACAATTTTAATTCTTCTGTTAGTTAAGCATGATGTGACCATCAAATAATTTCATGTGATATTTTCTTTTAAATCTTTTGATGACATGGTAATAATATATCTTATAATTATATTATATAAACAAATAAAAATAGTATATCATATGAATATTTATATTTTAACAAAAAAAATAAAAATAAACAAAATAACTTTATCACCCTCACAATCGCCCTTTCGATCCATCTTCTTCCCTTCTTTCTTTCTTTCTCTTTCTTTCTTTTCAACCTCTGGATTGTAAGAAAGGGTGACGTCCATCTCAGTTGTACCATCATTTGAAATTGCTTTGCTTCCCACCTCAGCCACTGCTTTTTCTTCATTTGCTCCGATCAATTTGGCTTACTCATCCATCAACTCCTCAATTATAGCAAAACAATTTTGTTGCGAGACTTTTGCTCCTTGGCTTCTATCGAGAGCTGCTAATTTCACCAAGTTCCCCGGGATAGATTGTGGAGAAGTAAAAATTTTGGTTGATTGATTTGTAAAAAATTCTACGATTTATTATTGTAAATTACATTAAATAATTTTTTAATATTAATATTCATCTGCTAACATTTGTTATATATATATATGTGTATATATATATATTATGAAATGTAAATAAATAATCTTTTTAAATTATTAATTTTAATTTTTAAGTGAGAAAAATAATTTTTTTTATATCACAAAATAACAAAGATAACAATTTTTTATTGAGATTTAAATTATTAGTTGAAGATTTATTAATAATATAACTATAATCTCTAATTACTCCATCTACTTTCAAAATAATAAATAAAAGAGAAGTAAAAAAATAGATTAAAAGATGACATCCACCACTACGTCAATATTACTTTCTATGTTCATTTGTTTTTGTTTTGATAGAATATATTCAATTAGAGGAATCCTAGGAGCACTCGTTCCAGCACTCTCCCTTCAGCAACCGCTCATCTATTTATCCGCTTAACTCAATTTTTTAGACTGAAAATCGGAAACGCCGGTTACAAAACTTCAACAAGAATGTAGGTCCCACATATTAAATGATACGTACTGTAATTGATTTTATTTCAAAAAAATATCTTCTATCTCAGCTCCTTTACTCTCTTTCTTCGAGTGATCGTTCCACTGATAATCGGCAACGTACTTTTAATTCCTTCTTCCCTTTAACAATCCAAAGTGATGAAATTTGTACGATCAAAAAGAGCCTTCTTTGGGTGAACATCAGTGGAAAATGAGGACAATAGGAAGCAATATTATGAATATTTCCTAA